TCTTCTTCTTCTTCTTCTTCTTCTTCTTCTTCTTCTTCTTCTTCTTCTTCTTCATGTACAGAAAAAAATTCTTCCAAAGTGCTGCAGCCTTTTCATTTTATTTGTTGGTGGAGACAGACTGGGTTTTTTTTCGAAATCAGGACAGAGCAATGATTTACCTTGAAGTGGAAGAAACCTGCCTTGGAACAAATATGATCAGAAAGACTCTGCTGAGATGGTAACACAGATGGTTATAGGGCGCCACCGGTAGTTCCTACTTCTTTTTTTTCCCTCTGTTGTTTCTATCTGTCTTTTCTACTTTTTTTCCAGCATTAAATGACCATTATTGTTTTGACGTGCTTCTATTTACTCAAACAAACAGGAGATGGTTACATCAGATAATAAATAGATTAAAAGTTAATTTTGAAAATGCTATTAATTTTTAAAAGTTTGTTCTGGTTTTTTATATTTTTTGCAGTGGCTGTTCGACAGTCACTCTGATGCGGTTTGCTACCCCTTTTTCTAAGTCAAACATCTACTGTCCTTTTTTCTCTTCTTTCTCTTCTTTGTATGTTACTCTCTATTAAAACCTCTAATATCTACACTCATATGATGTATTTGTGTTGCAAATACCATCTTACTAAAACTAAAAGCCTCTAATCTTCAGCACTCATGTGATGTATTTGTGTTGCAAATACCATCTTACTAAAACTAAAAGCTTCTAATCTTCAGCACTTGGGTGAGCTATTTGTGTTGTACTAAAACTAAACCATTCATTGCAGACATACATTTGAAGTGAGCCCTGTGTTCATTGTCATGGAGAAATACCTATTCAAGAAAATGTGTGATATCATTGGCTTTGAGAATGGCGATGGAATATTTTGTCCAGGTTTGTGTGCTGTTTTATATGTGTGGATAGTTGGTGGGGGTTGGTGGGGTTTGCTTCTGTTTTCCTATCAAACAACTGTTGTCCTTGTCTCTCCTCCTTCATTAAAAAAAATGTACTTTGTTCTAGGGGTGGATGGTTCATGGGTGCTCTGGTGTTGTCTGCTCCTTCTTTTCAATTGATCATCTGGTCTTATTATCTCTCCTCCTTCTTTTTTGTGTTTCTTACTCTCTCGTAACATCTCTTATCTTCATATGACCTTAGTGTGTTGCAAGTGCCATAAAACACTGACTAAAACTTTGTTCTGGTATGTTTTATAATCTTTGACACTACTGTGACCAAATTTTGTTGCAAGTGCCATAATACTGGTCACTATGCTCACAGCCTGCTGTTTCTAGTATTTTGAGATATAACTGCTTCTTCACTGTGAACCCAATGGTTACTCATGGATATGCTGTGCACAAGGTCAAGCACTTCAAAATAGGATTGTAGAGGGGGGAGGAGTGAAGGGCGATGCCTTGCTTTTATCTAAATGGTTTATTTATGCCCCTGTTTTTGGCAGTAATGTTGTTGTGTTGAAGTCAGGATCTTTACTACTGCACACACAAAGCAACAATATGAATCCCACTGGAACAAGTCATCTATGTAGAGCATCTCTGTCTTTCTGATGAGATACTGTATTTCTTTTGTGTTGAATATCTCTCTCTTAATGGTGAGAAGACATGGAATAACATCAAGAGGCTAGCCCAGGATAGAGAAAAGTGGAGGGTGTTTGTCCGTGGCCTATACCCTGGTGCATGGTGAGAAAATCATTGATGATGAATGGTGCGATTATATATCCCTCTCATGTTGAGTGTCTCCGTCATTAAGGTGGGATCATAATGTGTCTCTCTTGATCTCTTGTGATCTCTTGTGTCAAATATCTCCATCTTTCTGATGGGTGGGTGGTTGGCGAGTGCTCTGGAGTGGTTTGCTCCTTCTTTCCTTTCTGACATCTATTGTCCTGATCTCTCCTCCTTTTTTTGTGTTTATTACTCTCTTGTAACATCTCTAATCTTCGGCACTTATATGACCTTATTGTTTTGCAAGTGCTGTAAAACTCTTACTAAAACTAAAACTTTCTGATGGGATACTGTATCCCTCTCATTCTTCATGTCAAGTATCTCCATCTTTCTGGTGGGGTCATGTATCTCTCATGTGTCAAGTATCTCCATGATTCTCATGAAACAGTGTGTCACTCTCTCGCCGAGTTGTGAATTATATTGCGAGCGGAGCATTCTTTGTTATATTTCTAACATTTTGTTTTCCCCTAGGTGGCTCTGCCTCAAATGTGATGGCCCTTCAAGTTGCCAGGTACAAGAAATTTCCACAAGTTAAGACTGAAGGAATCTACGGATTGCCTAAGTTGCGCTGCTATATTTCAGAAGATGTGAGAATTATTTTTATTTATCAGTCGGCAACTTTTAAACTTTTTGTTGATGAGTGAGGGAAAGATTTCTTAAAAAGTCTTTGGTGTGGTGCTGTCACTGTTTGTTTTTTAGAATACCCCCTCACCCCTTCCCCGCCACACATCTCCCTTTTTTGTGGTCCCTCTCAGTACTCACGCGGTTGTTTAGAAGGGCTTAGGAAGGTGAACTACACTCTTTCTCCCTACTCTCGTGGGTGGTTGGTTGGTGCATTGGTGTAGTTTACCCCTTCTTTCCTTTCAAACTTTTATCCTCTTTATTTCTCCTTTGTTTCTTAGTGTGTTTCTTTGTAGTAACATTGTTAATCTTTGGCACTTGTGTGGCCTATTTGTGTTGCAAGTGCTGTAAAACATTTACTAAAACTAAATATCCTACTCCGATTCTGTTATTGTAAATTGTGTCTGGTCTTGTTCTTTGCTGTTTTGTGCAAAAAAGATGCAATGTTTGAAAAGTGACAGAACTTTACTTGTCATGGGTTCCTGCTGAAGGCTCAAATAATTTCACTCCTTCAGTGGATCTGTGCTTTCAAATTTACTGCTGTTTCAACACCCCCCCCCCCTCCCACAGATACACATACACACACACATACATCATTTACATTTTACTTCTCTTTGAGTCTGAAGTCCTTTTTGTTTTTACGGTGGAGTGGATGAAAGAAGCAGTTAATAAAGCTGCTGTCTATAAGAATAGCATTACTCATCCTGGTCAACCGTCAGCTCTATGGGGGGTTGGTGGATGCTCTGGTGTGTTGTGCTTCTTCTTTCCTATCAAACAACTATCGTCCTCATCTTTCCTCTTTATTTTATGTGTTTGTTACTCTCCTGTAATATTTCTAATCTTCAGCTCTTACATGATTTATTTGTGTTGCAAGTGCTGCAAGACACTTACTAAAATAAAAGGCTAACCCCTCGTCCACCCCACCCCCCCCCCCCCTCCCACCTAGTTCTTCGCTGAAAATTGATACTGGAATCTAATGTATAGATTTTCAGTTGGTGACATTTGCATATGTCTTTTATCATTTAAAAACTAAAGTTGTTACTGCATCCGATCCGGACATTGGGGATCACCTTGTTAGCTTCCTAAATCTTCAGCATATTGTGGTAGGGTTGCCAGTTCTTTTCCACGCCGCCTTAACTTCCCCAACTCGAAGTCAGGCACCCATTACTGCTGGGTGGGCTGGAGGGGGTGAAAAAAAATTAGTGTCTGAACCGAGGCTTGATCCCGGACTTTCCGCTTCGGAGACAAGCGCACTAACCACTCCGCCACCGCACCCTCCTTTTATCATTTACTTCTGATAAATTGTACAAATTCCACCTAGCAGTTTGATATGTCTATTTCCAAACGATTTAAATCTGAGATATAACTCATTTTGTCGGCATGCCTCACATTTATCATTCAGGGACATTATTCTCTGAAGAAGGCCGCGGGCTATCTCGGGTTGGGAAGTGACAATGTTGTTCCTGTCAAAACAGACGAGCAAGGCCGGATTCTCACTGATGACCTAGAGCAGAAAATACAGGAAGACTTACAGAAGGTGAGAAGAGATACATTTGCTAATGTTGGAAAAAAGATGTTACTTTTCATGTAACATTAATATAATATCTTTTGTTTGTTTTAGTAGAGGTTTTTCATAATATAATATAATATCTATTATGCGAGCATTTACAAATGAAAGATTTGGTAAGATGTAATATTTGTTTTTGTTTAAAATGAATGGCCTTTTATATTTATTTTTCCCTCCTTTTTACTAAGCTCATTGATTTAGAATAATGATAACGGTGATATACATAGTGTATATCCATGCGCTAAATCATGCTCTAGCTGTGGTCTTTACAACCATTATTTTCTGGTGTTGTCTGCTCCTTCTTTTCA